GCGAGCTTCCCTGCAGCCCCGTGCTTCCCTGAAACCTCGTGCTGACCGAACCTGACATTACTGAGACCTAGTTGGGGCGGGTGTTTAGGCACACTGATTATACCCAATTATATCTTTTGACTCCAGGCCAGTCAAGTGAAACTGTCAAGTTCTGTCTCAGTGCCTGGAGGCTGTGCAGGTTTGGATGGGGAGGAACTGTCTCCAACTCAGTCCTACCAAGACTGGGTAGCTGTGGGTGTTTGGACTACCCAGATCTGGAGATATTCCATCTTTCACCTTGGATGGGTTGGCCCTTCCCCATTCAAGGATGGAGATCTTTCTAGACTCACAGCTCCTGTTTGATGAGCAGGTGGCAGCTGTGGCCAGGAAGGCCTTTACACACCTTCATCTGGTTCCGCCATTTACTAGATGGGGGAGCCCCTCAAACAGTCACTCATGCCCTGGTCACCTCATGGTTTAACTACTGCAGTGTACTCTACATGGGGCTGCCCTTGAATACTACCTGGAACTTTCAACTGGTCCAGAATGCAGCAATGCAGGCAGTGATGGGCTTGATTTGGCCCCCACTCTGTTGTTTAGAATGGCCTTGAAGACCTAGTTCTTTGCCCAGGCCTTTGGCAAGGGTACTTGAATCTCCCTTTTTTTCTTTTTCTTTGTTCCCATCTGGGTTTGTCATCTCTGCCAGCGTTGTTCTTTTTTGTTTTGTGTTGTTTATTTGTTTTTACAGGTAGTCCCCAGTTTAAGAACGAGTTCTGTTCCCAAGGTCTGTCCCTAAGTCGAATTTATATGTAAGCCAGAATAGTATTATTGTACAATACTGTATAAGTGGTATTGTGTAATGAACTCAAACCATTGTGTATTTAACTCGAATCATTGTGTATTTAATTTGAATTTTGCTACAATAGGCTCCTTTCTTAACTATGGGTCATCTGTAACCCGGGTGTTCTTAACCCAGGGACTCCCTGTAAATGTTTTTAACTATTTGTAAACCTCACAGAGTCACTGGAGATCAGGCAGCATATAAATGTAATATATTCTTATTGGTCACACAGTCAGCCAGATGTTTAGACTGGATTTGGCATTTTTATCCACCTATCAAG